CCAAAAAATTCCATGATTCTATGAAACACCAGTTCAGTTGATTCAGATGTAGTTTTAATAGAAGCAAAAAGATTTGCATCTGCATCTATATAAAAAATAAACAACAATTATTTAAAAACAAAAGACTTCCATCTATTCCATTTAAATGATTTAATAGGAGTATTTCCTGCAATGCTACATACAAGAAACTATTTTAAATAACATTAAAACAAACCAAGAGAAGTCAGAGAACTCGAAGGCAGAAAGATTTCATCTTTCTCTCACATAATAAAAGACATGATACATATGATTCATTCAAACAACTATATTATCATAACTGTCAGAAAAAGCTTAAATAAAATGTTTAAATGAGAGAGAGAAAATTCAGGCATCTAAATCCATGTGTAGGCACTGAATAGCTGGTTTAATTTTCAAAAACTACAAACACTTCAAACTTCCAAAGAGTTTAAGGTAACCGACACCTCTAAAAGTCCCGTTAACACTTACCCACATAATTTAATTCCTCTGAGTAGGTCCATCAAATTAAAAAGGAGGATTTGTATGCATAAGCAGGACTAATGTTGAGAGAATTATGATATATAGATTTAGTTGTCTAATTTAAATGTCAAAATTGAAAACTTTCAATCACGACATGTAAAATATGAGTTGTTCATTTAATTATGCATTAAGGATGTATCCTACAGTCTTTAAAAACAGATGCTGAGAGGAACTCCCATTAGACTCTAAACCAGAGCAATGAGCAACTTTTTTTTCTTTTGCAAGTGGCAACCAGAGTCCTCATGATCAATTTGAAATACTGAGGTCTACAAATAAGAGAAATCAATCAGAAAATCTCATTATCCTTATGGACCATATTAGTTCCACAACTTGAAAGCAGATTCGCTGTTAGAAGAGATTTCTGCTTAGAAATGGAGGACACATCTCTGGAATTTGAGAAGTTTATGTAACTTCCTAAGTGCCTAAAAAAGAAACTTTATCTTTTATACCCCAAGTTTCAAGAGGGCTCAGTATTTACAATTGAATCAACATCCCTAAATTCTTCCCTACTATCAGGATATTGGTCATGACAACACCATTAACATCAGTTAGTTAAACATCTTTTCAGTTGCTAAATGAACATACACTTTCCAACACAGGGAGTTTGAATCATTCACCCATTGGTCAAGTCAGTGCCATATTCTGGGCCCCTCAGTTCAGGAGGGATATTGAGGTGCTGGAGCAGGTCCAGAGAAGAGCAACGAGGCTGGGGAAGGGACTGGAGCACAAGTGCCACGAGGAGAGGCTGAGGGAGCTGGGGTTGTTCAGCCTGGAGAAGAGGAGGCTCAGGGGAGACCTTCTCACCCTCCACAACTCCCTGAAAGGAGGTTGGAGTTAGGTGAGGGTTGGTCTGTTCTCCCAGGCAACCAGCAGGAGAACAGGAGGGCACAGGCTCAAGCTCTGCCAGGGCAGGTTTAGGTTGGATATTAGGAAGAGATTTTTTCCAGAGAGAGTAATCAGGCATTGGAATGGGCTGCCCAGGGAGGTGGTGGATTCACTGTCCCTGGAGGTTTTCAAGATGAGACTGGATGTGGCACTTAGTGCCATGGTCTAGTAACGATGGTAGGGTTGGACTTGATGCTCTTGGAGGTCTTTTCCAACCTGGTTGATTCTATGATTCTATTATTTGTCTTTACTATTTTCTTGTTCTGATAAATCACAACAGCAAAATAATTAGGTTGTTCTTTTTAGCACAGAGGAAACGAGCTCAGTCCTGCAGACACTTTTCAAGTGTCAATTTTTATAAACACTGATGGTCATATTAGTATACGGAAAATAAAGCTCATGACAAAATGGGTGTGGACAATCAGGGTGCAAATCCCCTCAACAGTCATTAATGATACCAAGTCTGCAATAGTCAGAGAGCTACAGCACTGAAAATGCAAGGTAAGAACGTATCATCAACTCTTCAGGAAATGTCTGTGAAATTGAATTAATCTGAGGTCTACTAACCATTCCTGTGGCAAAATGAAAAAAAATATACCCACTTTGTCCCTGGGAGGGAAAGACAAGGCAAGTCACTGATTGGGTCTTATCCTCTTCTTTGTCAGCACTGAACGAGCAACTAGAGATTGTTCTGGTTTGCAATACAGATAAAGAATTGTTCTTTAGAAAGATCAGATCTTTTAAATATTTAAAACATGATAAAGGATTGATCTACCTTTCATTTTGTCTACTCAGATGTCTTCAACTACCAGTAATCCACCTTGGTTTCAGAGCAAAGGTGTCAAGTATCCTAGTTCCATCTAAGTTTTTCAAAGTAAACCAATTTACTTAGACCAAATGGAAGAATCACTTTGAGGACCTTCGAGTGGAGTGATTGGTCTTGTCAATATTCCAGGAAAAGTCATCACATCCATCAGAACAATTAGTCACCAACATCACCATCTCTGTCACCTATGAGCCACAGAAAATGAAAACCTATAGCTAATAAGGCAGTTCCAAGCAGATCTCCCAGTGCAGTAAGATAAGGGATAGAAAAACTGTCAGGATCTTTTCCTTTTTTCCAGAAGTGGTGCACCATCCAGTCAGCAATCCACAACAGAGTAAACACCTACACATCAAACAAACAAAATGTGTATTATTATCACATAAACTACACCAAAAGGAAGACAACAGCCAAGATTATTGTCTCATTTGTACACAGAACTGTTGTATACAAGTGCTTTGAGAAATATAAATGATTCATAGGAGGGAATTTCAAACTCAAACTAGAGAGAGGACACTTAGCCAGCTCATCTCAGTCAATCACATGCACAGCTGGATGAACATATGGAATCACTGGCAGCATTCTTCACCCAGTGTATGCTTGAGAACTTCTGAAAATGGCGCAAACATGCAGTGGCACTTCTTACATAACACATCCTTCCAAACAGTGAGAGCATCAGTGGGACTTTGAGACAACTCAGAACCAAGTGATGCTGCCCCACAGGAAGACACTCAACCCAGGTGTCACTTCCGTTTGCACAGCTCTAGTACTGCCCTGAAATCAGATGTAGTATAAAGAATAACAGGTCAAACTAAGAAGAGTTGTATGAACTGCAAAAAAATGGCCTAGAACCTCCTTTTCTGCCTGAAAAACCATCTCCAACCCTTCTGAAACAAGGCACACCTGCAATATATAGTACAGTGTCACTCCAGGCTGAATTTGTCCTAGAGTAAAAGATTTCATTCCCAGTTGTGAATGTCTGATCATTTGAGAAACTTGATCTTAAGACCAAAGGTATGCATAGTCATTAACTCAATTTTAGAAGAGAATCCTTTTCATGCTGCACAGCTGTGTGATAAGAGACTCTGGTTCAGGGGAACCATGTGATGTGGCATGGCACAAGATGAATGGAGAAAGGACCACGAACTGAGTTCCTTTTCTTCTTGTGTCTTCTAAGGAGCTGCTCAAGATGAAATAAACACTGCATTTTAAGTATTTTTAGTTACTCAGATCTTCAAGAAGGGTAAACTTAAGACAGTTACTACCATAATTCATGTTTTAAAAACTCTACTATGTCCATTTGAAAGAATATGCAGCCTTAAAAGTAGTAAAAAGTACAACACAAATATTTTATGTAGTCAATAATCAATTATTGGCATCAGAATCATATTTATAAATGTATGCACTCATTTACTGACATGCTGATAAAATGGTTCCAAGACATTCCCCAATACATTCACTAAAATGAATGTCATACAAAAAAATGTGTGGAAAAAGTTTCTCAATTAACCTTTGCTTTGCAAAAGTGTATGTTAAAAGAGAAGCCTGGATTGCCAATTAAAAATCAGAACCAGAAAGGGAGGAGTATTTGCCTAATGAAAAATGCATGGCTTATTTATACAAACGTATCTTCTGAACAGGGAACTCTGCAGCCCAAGCTAATTATGCAAGTCCTAGGTGTGCTGACTGGAATCCAAACAAGCATATTTAAAACAGATGTTTTCTTTGGAAGACTATCAGATTCTTTGAGTCAGCTCCTTCTTCTTACCGAGACAAAAAGAGGCCTGTTTAGAAAAGATCCTGCACATTACCATCTCCTCCAGGATGTGCACAGACGACACTGTAGAGCCACACATCAACAATCGTTAGACATGTTCCATCAGAAGATGGGAACATTCATTCCAAGGAGAACACACACTCCATTTATATAACACAACCAATTAGACATAACATACACAGGTCAATTGAGCTGACAGGATACACTTCTGACTCTTCGAAATCATGACATGAAAACCTTTCATTTCTATCTCTATTTTCCACCCTGAAATAACTCACTAAGGCTACTGTGAAAAATAAGCAGTTTGGAAGTTAAGCTTTTGTGAGCCTTCCCACCTAATTGTTTTTGGTGTATTAACTTATGGGTGCATAACACATCATGCAAATTATAGCAAGTTTTGCTTCTGTAAGTAACAGGAAAAGGTTATTGCACATCATATTAACTGATGCTTATAAAAGTATATGATGGCAAGTGGGACATAGTGCCTACTCAATAAGTTATGAGACTACAGCCTTTACCTTGGTGAAGGAATCATCATCATACATTTGAATGTCTAGAAACTCACTACCATTTCACAATTACACAGCTCAGTCTTTGGACTTGGGACTTTGGTTACTTATTTGGCCACATTAGTCAGTGCTGCATGACAGAATGAATCAGTGTGACTTCAGTTTTCAATGATATTTTGCTTCTCATCAATGTTAAGGGGGGAGCAATCAAAGTAATCAACCAACTATTATTTGGGGTGAAAAAAAGAAAAAAAAAAGCCCTACAATAAGTTTGATGATTTTTTGACAGACAGTCCTTGAATTTAAAGTGATAAGTCACTCACAAATATCTGACAGAACAGAAAATACAAAGCAAAAAATAATTTTAAAAAGACTTCACAAGACTTGTTACTTTAGTAAGTAGGGATCAGCATAGAAACATAGAGCCATCAATGCTGGAGGAGACCTCTAAGATCATCGAGTCCAACCATTAACCTGCCACTGCTGGAACCCCTAAACCCTAAACCATATACTCCAGCACCAGATCCAGATGCCTCTTAAACACCTTCAGGGATGGTGACTCCACCACCTCCCTGGGCAATATTCCAGTGCCTGAGCACCCTCACAGGGAAAACATTTCTCCTAATATCTAATCTGACTCTGCCCTGGCTCAGCTCAAGACCATTCCCTCTACTCCTCTCCCTGCAGCCATGGCAGGACAGACATCCCCCACCTCTCTCCAAGCCCTGTCAGGGAGCTGGAGAGAGCCATGAGATCACCCCTGAGCCTCTTCTCCAGGCTAACCAAGCCCAACTCCCTCAGCCCTTCCCCATGTGCTCTAGCCCTTTGCTGCCCTCGTTGCCCTTGGCTGGACTCACTCTAGTGCCTCTATGGCCTTTTGGCAGTGAGTGGCCAAAGCTGAGCACAGCACTGAGCTGGGACCTCCCCAGTGCTGAGTCCAGGGGGATGAGCACTGCCCTAGTCCTGCTGCCATGCTCTGCTTGAGCCAGGCCAAGATGCCCTTGGCCTCCTTGGCCACCTGTGCACACTGTTGGCTCAGACTGAGCTGCTGCCACCAGCACTGCAAGTCCCTTTGGGAGCAACACCTCCATCCCCACTCCTCCCCCAGCCTGGAGCGTCTTGGGGATGTTGTGTTCCAAGGGTAGAACCAGCACTGAACCTTAGTGACCCTCATGTAGCTGTCCTCAGCCACTGCTCCAGTTGGTCCAGGTCTCTCTGCAGAGCTTTGCTACCCTCAGGCAGATCCACACTCCCACCCAACTTGGTGTCCTCTGCAAATCCACTGAGGGTCACTCAATCCCCATGTCCAGATCATCACTGAAGACATTAGACAGGACTGGCCCCAAAACTGAGGCTGGGGAACATCTCTAGAGAACAGCTCCAAATGGGTTTAGCTGCATTAGCCACAACCCTCTAACATCACAGAAAGGCTAGTAAGACAGTACAAAAATTATCTGTTTAGCATGAAATGCTGTAGAAAAGTGATATCAAGAGATTGTAAATACATGCAGAACTAGTCAAGATGTGAGCTAAAATTATTTAATATAGAAGAACTGAACAAGTGCTTGCTGAAAAAAAAAAGATTAAGAGGAGAATTATGAAACAGAGCTCTAGCAATTCTGCCAGATTGAAGAATGACATTACTGCAAGGTTTAAGAAAGGTTAAAAAGGACTGAATATTATATACATAAAAAGATCTATCTAAGAAAAGGGAGAAACTCTATAGTCACTGATGAAGAAAAAACCCCCAAAAAAACCCAAAATAAAGCCTAGGATTGCAAAAATACAAGCAAAATTCCAGATGTTTCAATATTTTGAAAAGAAAATCACACTACATTATTATTCTTTTGGGAAAAAAATCACAATCAAAACTGAGGAAAATGAAACTAAAGACATGATCAGATTTTCACTGCATTTCTGAAATGACCTTTGGTCACATTGCCAAGAAAGGTCCTTAGAAGACAGAA